CTCCTTCTTTCTCACTTTTCACATCTACACCATCCCTCCTGTTTCTATTTTAATTTAGAAAGATGCCTAAACTTTTCCTAGGAAGGCTGTAATAACCACACACTAGCCTTCCTGTTTCCAGTCTTGTTTCTGTATCCCATTTACCTTATTACAGGAAGAAAATTCTTTTAAAATGCAAATATAATTAAATCTTTTCCAGCTTAAAACTTTGTTTCCTAATACCCCCAGAAATCGATACTCTTTCATATGGAATACAAAGCCATCAATAATAATTTTTTTTCTCAAAATAGCCTCCTATCTTTTCTTATATTTCCTTCGCCCTTTGTATCTCTTCCTGCGAGTCATAGGGAACTTATACTGCCTTTCTAGGTGTTCTGATTTGTCATTCTTCACCTTAAAATGGAATGCAGCATTTCAGATGTGATATGATCAACACTAAGTAAACAAAAATGGTCTAACTTCTCCTTTACTGAGATGATTGTTAATATTTGATTGGTATGGACCCAGTATTTATTATTTATTTGATATAATACCTTTTATTCAGTAGATTTTTACATTCACAGTACTGTCTAACCCTGAAACATCATTGTAAAGCCCAGTTTCAATCTTACTGTTTTCTCAAAGCATATTAGTAGGGATGCATCTATTTGCTCTAACCAGAATACCTATCAGATAGTTACTTGGTCTCTCCCCTCATACCTGTGATAATGAATTTATTTCAGCTTGGCAGTGTTAGTGTTGATATTGACCTGTCACCAGATAACTAGATGATATATATTTCTGTCTTCATAGTATCATTTCATGGTTTGCAAAATCAAGAAGCATTCCACTGAAACTGGCTAGCTGGCTTGGAAGTAAAGCAGTTGTTTCTTTTCTTGTCAGTCCTTCATCTCCTCACCCCCAGGGGAATCAGGATGCCCCACATTATGTTTAAAAGCCTAAACACATCAAACTTTTATTCTTCTCTTGGATTTGAAAAGGGGACGTTATTAGCTCTGTCTTGATGTAGCAGGGGCTCTGAAAGTCTATTTGGATAACACTGAAGATTGGAGGAAATGTGACTCTGTCTGTGTGTTTTAAGCCCCTAAGGTAAGATCAGAAAGCGTCTGGGGCAGTGAGAGCCAAATAGTTGAAGTCATACATTAATTATGGTCATGAATCATTTTTATTTTTAAAGTCTTTACCATTTGACAAGGTTGTTTGCATAGTACCAGTGAGTTTCAGGCAGCGTTTTCCCCCTTTTAAAGTAACAGGCTATTTTGTTGATTTCTGCTCTAAATTGATAATGCCTATTATTATTAGAATTCTAATAACATTTTTAGTAAAAATTGCACATTTCCTTACCTAAGTGAGTGGTCTTCATTTGACTTTTATTTTGAATATAATATTTAAACATTTTAAATATAGAAAACTATCACATTAATCTCTCACTCTCCCACTGATATCAGTAAAAAGTAATCCCATCTCGGGACTGAGCTTTTATATTCAGGAGTTAGTTGACATTCAGTTTGCAAATATATTTTGAGTGCCTCCTTTGTGCCACATTCTGTGCTAAGCACTGGGAATGTATTTGAAAATGAGAGTTTTTTGTTTTTCTCAGAAAGAGCTAATAAGAAAATAAACAATTTCTATAAAATATAGTTCTATAATCTTTGTTAGTGGTATTTTTACATGATACTGCAGATTTCTACAGAAAGGAGTGCCTCTACCTGTCTGGAATAGTCCAGGAAGGTCTTTGAAGAAGAGGTTATGTTTGAGCCGCCTCTTTAATGGACTCAGGACTAGATCAGCTCACTCAAAGTTGTAGAAACAAGAAATTGCATATGCGTTTAGAGAATTGCTAGTAGTTCAGTATTGTTGGAACTGAGCACACAAGGTAAGGAATATCAGGAAATAAGGCGAGAGATGTTTGCTGGGAGTGTATTACAAGGGGTCTTTCCTGTGTTTAAATTTCTTTAGAGCAAACTTTGTAAGAGAGTATTACTATCAAGAGAGTGTGTACACATATAGTACCAGAACAAGAGGCGCTAGGATGGAATATAACTTCTATTGGAGGAGCTTTGAGGAAGTTGCTGTATAACTGATCTTATTAGCAGCCTAGCTCTAATAAGAGTTGCTCCTTTAGATGACCTAAGAAATCCTCAATAACTATTAGGCAGTTTCTGAAAATACAGATACATCATGAATATTTTTAGTGCATAGGGTCATCATCCTCATAATAAAGTTGACAGAGATATTGAGGCCATCAAATCCCTAATAAAATTAACCTTGTATATAGGATATCTTTCAAATTGGGATTATTGAGTAATTTTTAAAAATTGAGGTAAAATTTACATACAGTAAAATGTGTAGATACTAAGTTTAAATTCTGTATATAACTGTGTACCCTCAGCCCAGTAAAGATACATAGGATATTTCCATCACTTCAGAAAGTTCCTTTGTTCCCCCTGTTCTCTACCAGTCAATCCCACCCTTTGTAGACAACTAGTGACTCTGGATTTCTGTCACTATGGATTGCTTTTACCTGTTCTTGAACTATGTGTAAATGGAGTCACATAGTATACTTTTTGTTTCTGTCTTTTTTCACTCAACATCATGTTGTTGAGATTCATTCATATTGTTGTATCTATATCAGTGGTGTGTTCCTTTTTATTGATGAGGAGAATTTCATGATTTTACCTCAATTTGTTAGTTAATTCTTCTGTTTGATGGACATTTGTGTTGTTTTCTGTGAATATTCTTATAGAAATTATTGTGTAGACATACATTATTATATTTCTTGAGTAAATGCTTAGGAGTAGAAATACTGGGTCACAATTAGATGGCCGTTTAACTTTATTAGAAACTATTTTCCAAATGATGGTACTCTTTTACACTTTACCAGTAATGGATGCAAGTTTCAGTTGCTCCACATCCTTACTAGTATTAGATATTGTTACTTAAAATATTTTTTTAGTGTTTATTTATTTTTTGAGAGAGAAACACACACATACACACAGTGAAAGCGGGAGAGGGGCAGAAAGAGATTGAGACACAGAATCCCAAGCAGGCTCCAGGGTCTGAACTGTCATTACAGAGCCTGATGCAGGACTAGAACCCACAAACTGTGAGATCATGGCCTGAACCGAAATTGGACTCCTACCCAACTGAGCCACCCAGGTGCCCCAATTTTCATTTTCATTTTAGCTATTGTAACAGATGTGAAATATATCTCATTATGATTTTAATTTGCATTTCTTTGATGACTAAGATGTTGAGTACCTTTTCCTATACTTTTTGGCCACTCTTATATCACCTTTTGTGAAGTAGTTTATTTTTTTGCCCATTTTTAATTGGGTTGTCTCTTTGTTACGATTCATTAAAGGACACAGCCCTTTGTCAGACTGATCTTGTGCAAGTTCTCTCACTCTGGGGACTGCTTATCATTTTCTTAATGGCATCTTTAGATGGACAGATATTTTATTATTGTGAGCCCAATTTATCTCTTTTTAATGTTATGGTTAGTGCTTTTCATGCCTTCTCTATGAAATCTTTACCTCTTCCAAAGTTGTAAGAGATTCTCTATGTTTCTTCTACAAGTTTTATGATTTTAGTTTTTATGTTTACTATGCTTTCCTAGAATTAATCTTTTGCATGTGTTGTGAGGTAGGGCATGAAGTTACTTCCCCCCACCCCTGTGTTTATCCAGTGTTCCAGCACCATTTGTTTTAAAAACTTACTTTTCTCCATTAATTTACCTGGATTCCTTTGTCCAAAATCAATTGGCCATATATGTGTAGCTCTACTTATATAATCTTTACGCTGATCCATTGATCTGTTTTTTGATCCTTATGCCAGTACCATATTGTTTTGATTATAGAGTTTTATTTTTAAAAAGTTTATCTTGGTTTATCTCTTCTAGAGTCTTTGTTTTTCTGTATAAATTATAGTATCAGCTTCTTAATTTCTTCCAAAAGAACCAAAGCCTGTTGAGATTGTGATTGTAATTGTGAAACTATTGACCGATGTATAGAAATATCACTGAAATTTTATATGTTGACCTTGTATCCTGTGACCTTATTAGTTCTAGAAGTTGTTTTGTAGATTTCTAATGATGCTCTATACGAAAATCATGTTATCTAAAAATACAGTTTGACCATTTTTAATATATATATGTATAGGAAATATATAAGCTACATTTGAAGACCAAGAGGCAAAGAAAAACACAAACCCATAATGGAAGCAAAAAAGAAAAATAGTTCCTAATTTTTTTCAAAGTCCTTGCTTCAAAGTGGCTACTGCTTTTAAATCAGTCTTTTTAACTGCTTTTAAATCAGATTATTGTTAATTCTTTTTTTCTTCGTGGATACCCATAAGTAATATTCAGCCTTGTCATCAATGGATATTCTCCTGGTGACTTTAGCAATCCTTTTAATTTCCTTGGGTCTCAGTTTTCACATTTATAACATGATGCTATTCAACCAGATTATTTTCTAAGGTGTCTTCCAGACTCCTGGGATTTCACCATTTTAGCTCTAAGTATATCAGAGGCGGGCAGGCGGGCAGGTAGGTAGGTATAGAAAGGGTTTTTTTTTTTTTTAAGTTTATTTATTTATTTTATTATTCTTCCACGTGTGTGCAAGTCTCAGGGACAGAGAGAGACGGAGAGAGAGAAGTAGAGAGAGAATCCCAAGTGGACTCCATGCTGACAGCACAGACTTGGGGCTTGATCTCCTAAACCATGAGATCATGACTTGAGCTGAAATTAATAGTCGGATGTTTAACCAACTGAGCCACCCAGATGTCCCAAAAGGGTGTTTTAAGGGCACATTGTAATCCCTGTTATTTCATTATAGATACACGAGAGAATTGATCAGTTTGAGTTCATTACTAGTTCTGTTTATCCTGGAAGATTTGTCCTCATTTTGTTCCATTTATGTCTCTTGTTTATTCCATATATGTCTCTGTGTTGAGAATTTATAGTTAACTCACTTGAATTTTTCTGTAACTTTTATTTCTAGGCTTCATAGAGCCCAGTGTGCAATTAAACAGACTCAGGTAACTGTTCAGAAAATTGGAAAGGAAATTGAAGAAAAGCTAAGACTCACATCTACAAGCAATGAGTTGGTAGGTTTTTATATATATTTACTTGTTTAGATTCCTTGATCATCATATTCTTCTTATATTAATTTTTTCCAAAAAGCTCTATTTAGGTAGTTATTTTTCTTTTAATGTTTCACTGAGACTTATATTGGCATTTAAATGTGGGAAAACACTCTCCCATCTCCTAATGTAACATGCAAAAAAAGGACCTGCCTTCTTCCGCTAGATGAAACTTTAGACTACATACAATTACTTAGAAAACAATTAAAAGCTATTTTATTAATGTCTTACTAATGTGAACTCTAGATACAAACTGTATAGTGAATGAGATATAGCTGCCAAAAGAGAAAACAAAAACCTTTAGGGACCAATCTCCTTTTAAAAGATGAACTTAAAATTACTTGGAGTAAACTTAATAAGCTGGTTTGTGGCTAGTGTTCTCTTTTGGGAAAGATTCTTTTGATGAGGCATTTCCAAAGAAATAGAAATTCCAACCCAAATGGACAGATTTAAGATATTAGTATAATTTGGGGGTTGCTCTAGACTCTTTTCTAAATTAATTATTTTAAAAAATACTAATTTTGGAATAAAGATTCTGTCTTTAATCAGACTAGTGGGCATAACTAATAAATTGAGCTTTTCTCGAAATGAAACCCCATGGCTATGGATAGCTTTCGGTGATATGAGTGCTCAAATTAAGTCCTAGCTAAAAATCTTTGAGGTGTTTTTTTTTTGTTTTGTTTTGGTTTGTTTTTTGTTTTTTTTTACTAACTCATTATCACATATGGGCAGTATCTTCCCGGTGTCATTTATAGCATATCAACTTAGGAGAAAGCCTTTTTATCTCCAAACAAAAGCTGAAGATTTGCTCAAGATAATAATTTAATAGATGAACTATAGAAAAGCAATGCAGTTAACCACTTACAGAGACTTCTCTGTCATGGAATTTGAAGTTAATGGATGACAGTATATTTAAGCTATACAAAATTGCTGATTTTGACCTATAAATGGCAGTTTCATATAATTCAACCTAATATATAAAATGACTAGTGCTGTACCTGGCACATAGCAGGCACACAAAATATGGTAGCTGCAATAACTACAAAATATGGTAGCTGCAATAACTATAGTAGTAATATTTATTCATATGACTTTTCTTGCCTATGGAAAATCTTCCATTTTGGAGAAGCTGTTAAACCACCTCTTGTTTTAACTTAGGTTCAGTAAAGGAAGAAATTCCAGACCACAGATATATTGGAAAAGGAGGGAAAAAAACATAATTTTAATCCTTTCTCTAGTGTACAGAAATGGCACATTTTTAGAACGTTTGTCTGAGGAGAAATTGCTAGGACTTTTTTCTTTCTTTCTTATTTTTATCTCCCTGAGGCAAGACTGGGAAATTACTTACTTCATTAAATGACAGCATATGTTTTGTCTCAGTATGGAAAAATGTATGTTTAATCCTATTTTTCTAAAATATAAGTGGTGACACAGAGAGCAAGGTGATAGAATGTATGAGCTTAAAGAGGTCAAGTTCAGAGGTTCACTGTGTGTTTTTATGCTGCCTGGTCAACATAGAAGAAAAGCATTGATTTTTGAACTGAAAGTGAACCTAGAAATCATCTAGTTGCCCTATAACCCTACTAAAACCAACCTTCTTTGGCACACTCAACCCCCTTCCATGTTTTAGTTTTCTCCTAGTATTTATTACCCTTTAACATGCTGTATACTTTAAAGTTACATATGTACTTTATCTCTCTAAACTCCATGAGGGTAGGGATTTTTGTCTGTTTTTCTTCACTGATGTATTCACCATGTCTAGAAAAGTGTTTGACACACAGTAGGTGCTCAGTGAATATTGAACTTAGGAATAAATCTATCATGTTAAATAATAAAATTCAACCAAGTAAATTTGAATATCTACTTGGCTTTTTCAAATGATTCATGAATCAGTAGGGCCATACCTCATCTAGCAAGTTAAATGGTGGAAGGTTCTTATAGAAGGGCAGGAGTGAGAAAGTTATTAGCAAAAGAGAGGATTGTTCCAGGCAAGGCCCGCCTCCTGGGGGAAAAGCAAAGGGTCTTATCATACAGATTGCCTCATCTTTTTTGTGGGGATACAGAAGCCTAAGGGTCAGACTCTTTGACACAGACTGAAAAATTCCTAGCTGGCCATTTCTAGAGTAGGTTGAAATGCATTTAGATTACATAATAAGCACCGGTTAGGGAACTCGATCTAAGTGACACCATTCTGGGCCCGTACATTCTTTTTTCCTTTTCTTTTTTTTTTTAAACAAGCCTACTCTCCTTATACTAAAGGATAGAGAATGAGGCCTGAAGAAAGGAAGCAGTTTTCCCATAATCATTTGACAAGTAGAGACAAAGTTTGGTTTACTTGTCTTCTTTCAGGGCGTAATGCCATGTACTTGTTAATTTTCTACTTTAACGTTTACCTGTAGCAAGTGAGAAACTTAACTATTACCTTTTTTCCTCATTCCCTTTCAAAACTGGCCTAAGGTCATCATACTCTAACCCAAGCATTTTCAATTTTTAAGAATCGACTTTAATTTTAGCCTAAATATAATGTCCCCTTAATGCTGAAAGAAATCAGATTACTTTGGGGGCGCCTGGGTGGCTCATTCAGTTAAGCATTCGACCTCGGCTCAGGTCATGATCTCAGTTTATGGGTTCCAGCCCCACATCAGGCTCTGTGTTGACAACTCAGAGCCTGGAGCCTGCTTCAGATTCTGTGTCTCCCTCTTTTTCACTGCCTCTCCCCCACTAGTGCTGTGTCTCTCTCTGTCTTTCAAAAATAAATAAATGTTTAAAAACAAGAAAAAAAAGAAATCAGGTTACTTTGTAAGATCAAATGTAACTCTCTCTTATAAGAACTTGAGTTCATACTTGATGGCTTTTAAAAGATTTAGCATCTTCTCAAACTACATTAATGGCCAACGTATCTTTCTGACATTTATTTGTTTCTTATGAAATTTCTGCCGTTGTCATCTTGAATTTTTGCCCATATGTTTTAGATTTTGTCAAATGCCTTCCCTATATCCATTGATAATTGTATTTTTTTTGTTTGTTTTGTATTATGGTGGTGAAATACATTGATTTTTGAATGTTAATCCAACTTTGCATTCCTGGGAAAAGCCCCTCATGTTGATGAGGAATTATTTTTTATGTATATTGCCAGATTCAATTTGCTAAAATGTTTGAAGGATTTTTGCATCTATATTCATTAAGGATATTGGTCTGGTCTGTAGTTTTGTTTTCTTAGAATCTCTTTGTGTGTCTTATTGTCAGGGTAATGTTGGCTACAACCAGTGAGTTGGGAGGTGCTTTTTCTTCTGTTTTCTGGAAGAATAGGTGTTGAATTGGAATTATTTTTTAAACCTATGGTAGAATTTACCAGTGAAGCCATCTGGACCTGGAATTTTCTTTGTGTGTTTTGAAGTAGGAGTTCAGTTCTTTAGTATCTGTAGGTTCCTGAAGTTATCTCCTTCTTGAGTGAGCTTCAGTTTAGTAGCTTACATTTTTCAAGGATTTGTCCATTTCATTTAAGAGGTTAGTCTCTTTAATTTTAGCTGTTCTTGAGGGTGTATAGTGTCTTCTTAGTTTATAAAGTGTTTCTATGGTAAACATTTTTCATATCTTTATTGGTCACTTGTGTATTCTTTAGGAAGTGTAAGTTTAAGTATTTTTGTCCATAAAAATAAACTGTTTATATTTGCAGAAAATTTGCAAAGATAGTTCAGAGGGTTTCCATATAACTTTCATCCAGTTTCCCCTAATATTAACCTCTTCTATAACCATGTTACATTTAACATGGTACAACAACAAACTAAGAAGCTAATATTGATACGTTACCATTAACTGTGGGCTTTATTCAAGTTTTACCAGTGTTTCCACTAATGTCTTTTTAAAAAATAACTAGACTATTTTATAACCGTAGTAGATGTAGAGAATTATTACAAAGATAGTACAAAGTGTATACCCTACAGCCAGTTTCTCCTGTTATTAACATTTTACCTTAATGATACATTTATTATAATTAATGAACCTATACTGATAAATCATCATTAACTAAAATCAACGCTTTCTTCAAATTTCCTTAATCTTCACCTAATGTTCTTTTCTGTTCCAGAATCCTCTGAAGAAAACCACATTACATTTAGTAGTCCTGCTCCCTTAGACTCTTCTTGTTTGTGAAAATTTCTCAGACTTTCATTGTCTTTAATGACTTTGACAGTTTTGAGGGAAACTAGACAAGTATTTTATAGAATATCCTGTGATTGGGATTTGTCTGTTGTTTTGCCATGATTAGCCTGAATTCACTGTTTCAGTATCCAGCCCAGGATACCACATTGTCTTCCTAGGCTTCTCTGATCAATGACAGTTTCTCATTCCTTCTTGCATTTAAATCACCATTACTTAATCCCTGTTGATATTTACCTTAGTCACTACTTGGTTAAGGTGGTGTTCCTAGGTTTATCCACTATACTCTCCTTTGGAGTATTTTTTTCCATATTCAGTTTTTTGAAAGCAAGATACTAGGTCCAGCCTACACTCCAGTAGAGGGGACTTACACTCCTCCTCCTGAGGGAAGACTGCCTACATATGTTATTTAGAATTCTTTGTGGGGAAGATTTGTCCTACCCCATTTATTTATTTATTCATGAGTATGAACTTGTATATATTTATCTTTTACTTTCGGTTATAATCAGATACTGTGTTATTTATGTTCTTGCTCACCTTGTGACATTGAGAGCTCTTTCAGGTTGTATGTCCTTTTGACCTGCCTCTCTTTTTTATTTGTTTGTTTTTTAAGGCACTTTTTAAATTTCTGGCACTATATGATCTAGGCTCATCTTGTGTTACCTGTGTTTCAGCCCTGAATCAGTCATTTTTCCAAGGCGTCTTGTTTCTTCCATTGGATAATGGTATTTAAAATCAATATCTGGGTACTAGGTATGCTTATGACTACTGGGTTATAATTGCTTCTGGGCCCTTGCAGTGGACAG